GTGGTAGTGTGGCTTTTATTTTGGAGTTGGGTTTTGGGTTTTTTTGTTTGGTTGGTTTTTAAACAGGCTAACTGTTTTATTCTGTTTTTCTTTACAGCAAAAAATTGAGAGTAAACATCAATGTGCCAATGAAGACTGAACAGAAGCAGGAGCAAGAAACTACACACAAAAATATAGAGGAAGATAGAAAACTACTGATTCAGGTGACTTGCATTGCAGAATGCTGCCATGCTATGAACTTAGAATTACAGCTTTGTCATCCTTTAATGAAGCTTCCTCTGGTGGAGCTAAAAATGTATTTACAGTGCTCTTATAAAGGCGATTGGAGTCTGTAATAGAAAATTTAGAAAGGCGTGACAGGACACAGTTCTTCACGTTTGTTCTACCATCATGTTGATGAGAGTTTGGGTTCCAAGGATGCACACACTCACCGTACCTCGTGTCCTGGGTGAAAACTAGTAACACCTAGTGTTTTTCTATCAGTTCATTTGGGATCCACTTGAGAAGCAAAGGGGCAGAAGGAGGAAATCCAAATGTACTACTAAGAGCCTGTCACAGTAAGGTTAAATGTATGAAGACAGCTTTCTGTTATAGAAGTAGCTTCATGTTGCCCTTAGTACCAGTTGGCACTATTGTCATGACTGGCCATAAGCAGAGAAGTTCTTAAAATTCATGGTCAAAACCACTTCTGATGACTGTATGCTATGTAGAATCTGAGTTTTTTAAGTCTGCATGAGTAGCTGACATTCCGTAGGCATGCTTCTCCCCATCGGGTGCTCAGGTTTGCTCTGATGATGGTTCTGTGCTAGCAGATGGGGTCTGCTAGGGAAGTAAAATGGCTTTATCCAGAAGGACAAGTAGTTTGCTCCTAAGCACACCTTTCTGGCTTTGCTGTGCAGGCTGCTATTGTGAGAATCATGAAAATGAGGAAGGTTCTAAAACACCAGCAACTGCTTGGAGAAGTGCTAACACAGCTGTCCTCAAGGTTCAAGCCACGAGTTCCAGTGATTAAGGTATGCAAGAACCACATCTCTGAACCTGTATTGCAGGAGGTGAGGAGGATATATGTAGACAAAATACATGTTTCTGAATTAAAGAGGGAGCTAAGAGGATGTGATGGGTAAGGACAAATTTTTGGAGTTACAAGGAGGAAATATTTTAAGCAGAAATAATGTATTTCTCCTATGGTAATAGGCATGTTTCATATTGCTGGCAGGGGTAAAATAGTAGCTTGATTGCCTCTTCCCACATCAGTGCCAGTTTACAGCAGCCCCTGCTCCATGTTTACATCTCATTCCTGCTCTCCCAGCTGTGGGAGCACCGCCTCTTGTGGGCTGGCTCAAGAGAACAGTTTCCTGATCTCTTCTAGAATAAAGATATTGGGGAGGGGGGCATCGTATTTAATTACGGTTTCATCATCAGTTTGTTTGGTCCCACCAACGGCTCCTACATCCACAGCCAAGGGGACGATAGCTAGGTGGGGCGAAAAACAGGCAGCGAGAGCCGCTGAGAGAGGCAGTGCCACAGGAGATGCCCCCGGTCGAGACGGGAAATAGGCAGCTGGGGCTGTTATCTTTAGTAACATTACAGTAAGCACTCTGCATCTCAGCTCAGCTCTTTAACTGGCGTCTTACTATGCAGTTGCTCAGCATACTGCTGGTCAGTTGACCTCCCAGTCACTGCCCTGGAATGGCACCAAGCGAGCAGAATTCAGTTTGGTGGATTTAGCGAGGTCCTCTGGGTGGATGCGGTCAGGAACGGGAGAGCAAATTGCCGTGGTCTGTGCCCTTTGCCTACTCCCATGTTCTACTTAGCCCGAAACTCAGTGGCCAAAATCAAAGTTTGTAGGGACCACCGAGGAGGCTCCTCTGCCAGTGCCCCACCGCTGATGTTTGTTTCTCCCCCAGAAATGCATCGACATTCTGATTGAGAAGGAGTACTTGGAACGCGTGGATGGTGAGAAGGACACCTACAGTTACTTGGCTTAATATTTTTATTAGCAATTATTTGACTGTGTGACACTCGGCAGATAGGTATGTGATGGAAAGAATGAAAGCAACCGAACTTCATAGCAGCCACCCTGCTGCCATTTGGACCTCCCTTTTTAATAACTGAGATCAGGACTCCCATCAGCCAGTCTCAGATTTACATCAGAACTGCTCAGGATTGATACATTTCAAGTATGTAAATATGGACACCAATGCCATTTAACCTAATTTAAGAACAGAAAGGAATCGAACCCTTCTCCTTTAAGGGTTGCATGCTACTGCATTTAAATCAATACATTGGCTATATGATAAACAGCTGCCATCACAGGCAGCACTTATAAATGTTGGCAGCACTTTGAGAGCGAGTCTGAATGGACCCATGTGTAATCTGCTATGAAAAACCATTTGTATAGTGTGTTTCATTTTTTAATGTGTGATAAATAAAAAAAAAAAAATTAAAAGATTTCTGTACAAGTTGCATTTGGTTTTATTGTTTTAAGTTTCATGACTTATCTTTCTAAATGTAAATAAAAGGTATAATGGTTATGAAAGCTATAGAAACTCATTTTCTTTTTCTCCTGTTCCCTGATGATTTAGCAGATTTTGTTCTCTGAAGAAATTAATTGTCATCTCTCATCAAATGTGCATGCTACCTCTTTAAGAGGAAACGGCTGCACCTTGAAAAGTTGTGATGCTTTCACAGGTACGCAGAATTAAAAATACTTCAAAAATATGTGGCAATAGTCGGTCGCTTGAAGTTGGAGCTGTTTTTAATACTGTTCAGTGTGCTGTAAGTGCATGACAGTTGCCTAAATGCTACCCTGAATAAATAAGGTTTAGGCTGTCAAATTATTTGACTAGAAGAGAAAATTGTGTTCCTAAAGAATAATTCCCCTTAACTGCAACCTGTGATGGGAAAAAAAATATTTTTGAGTGTTACTACACCTATATTGATTGATTAGGCCTTATTGCATTCTTCTTGTAACGTTTTGTGTTCGTTATATACATATAAAATGAGTATTAGCTTTCCATGTTACAAGCACAGTTCTACCATCCTCACGGGTCTCAGTTTTAGTAATTTATATTTTCTAGTCTTGATGGTGAAAAGAACCGAACTAACTTCTGCAGCCAAACCCTCTTCCCCTTAGAATCTGTGACTTGTTCTGGCATGAAAAAAAGGGGAGATAGGTTTTGTGTTGATACTGATTCTCTGAGGGAAACTAATTTTTCGTTGTTACAATTGAGCTGTGACCTACAAATGTGTCTGGGTGGGTTTGTTTTTTTTTTTTTTATTTAAAAAAGGAAGGAAGAATATTAGATGTGATCCAAACTGGTTTGGAAAATGGAAGTCTCATCCCCACTTGAGATTTTACATGCTTTCTATTCCTATTCTGAAAGAACTTTAATCGCACTAAAGACTGCCAGCATAGGTAACAGAACCACCTTGCTATTCAGTTTTCAAATTGCTTTTCTGAAATTTAGAAGAATGGAGCTTGCAATGCTTTGGGGGCTTTTTTTTTTTTTTTTTTATGATGCTCTTTCATGTTTTGTTTTTGTGAACCCTTCTTGCAGAAAGTTTGGTGCTTGTAGATTTTTGGAGCCGGATGTACCCGTGGCAGGGTGACAGAAGCAGGCTGAACGATGGTCAGAGGGGGAAGGCCAGAAATAACTAACAAACATGCTGTCCCAGCCCAGCCGCCCTCCAGCACTGGTTAACACGGCCTTGCTTTGTATACTTTGTGTGCTGTCTAGTGCAGAGCTCTATTTTTAAAACCCATCTGCTGTCAATCCAGCTTCAGGCAAGAGCCATGCTGTACCCAAGCAGGGAGAAAATAAGTTTTGATTTTTGGACTTTTTTTTTTTTCCTCGTTAGTAAGATGAAGGGTATGAATTCTTAGTTCCTACTCAGGCTACCACCAGCTGGCTGCCTTACTCGAGCGTGGAGGCAGGCACTGCTGCTTTAGCACTTGCTGAACAGGGCCAGGGAGCTGGAGCCTCCTCACTGCAGAAGGGGCATCACTGACAGGATTTCTTGACATCAGTTTTGCAATAGTGTGTCCCTGCGCCTGCTCTCCCCCCCTGAGCTGTTTTCACTGGAGCATTGTGTTCTTCCCAGCAGAAAGCTGCAGAGTTCACACTCAGCTGGCAAATCGGAAATAAACATGTGGTAGCCCTGTACAAGACCCAAACAGACAGTGAACAGCAGTCTAAACAGTTTTGGATAAAAACATATATATAAAAAACTTGTAGTAAGAGATGGTAACTGTACCAATAAGCAAACCTGTGATTGCTTACAGTTAAACAAGAGATGCAGAAGAGAAATGTATGTGTTAGTACTGTTGCATTCAGTATTTACTTTGTTGTTGCATTGAAGCTGCGGTTGCAGGTTCCAGTTTACTGGAATCCCACTGCTGCTTCCCTGATCAAAAGATGCAGGTGTTGTCCTCAGCAGCGGTATCACCGTACTGAGTGGGGAGATTCCTGGCACCTGCTTAGGCAGCTGGGTTGCCATTAAGCTAATGGGCAGGTAGACACCAACCTTGTCACCACAGCTGTGTCTTAGAAATAGGGCTTGTCCCAGACATCACAACTAGCCTGGGTTTTCTGGGGGGGGCAGGGACACCCTTTCCTCCCCCTCCTCAAATGCAGCTGCTGCTAACGGACAGAGCCCTTGTTAGGTTTAAGGACTGATGAGACTTAACAAAAGTAGAGAAATACTTTTAAAACCAAGAGGTTAGCTGTAAGAGCAAGCGTAGGAGTTTCTAAGCTGCAGCCATCACCTTCAGGCCAAGGGTACGTGAAAACTGAAAGACCTTTTACTGAGGGGCTAGAGGCTGAAGTCCCAGTCAGCTTGACTGATGTCACCTATGCTGTTTACGTCTTCACATTAATCTTAAATGTGGCCTGAAATAACAGCAGACAAAGTACACAGCTGCCTTCGCGCAAGTTGAAAGTGTTCACATTGCTTCCTCAACTGGCTGACACAAAATTCCAACTCGGTTCTACTAAAAATGAAGAAGTTCAAGTATCCTTTATTCAAGGTTGAAAAATGTACCACACCACATTATTGCAAAAGTTCATAGGTACAAAACACTTTGCAGCTGGTGAGAAGGCAATAAAAAGTTGGGGTTTTTTAATTTGTTACTATAAATTACTGTTACAGTACTTTGCAAATACAGAATTTCAAATTGCATCATTTTTATTTCTCTAAAATTGCCCACAGTACTAGAAATTCCTGAAGATAAGGCAGCTGTTTGTTTAAAAGAAGAGGTAGCTGGTGTCAAGGGATTTCCATTTCTCTTTCAATGCCCACATACTTAAGGGCATCAGCTTGGCTATATCTGAAATTAAAATAAAAAAATTAAAACCTAGTAACACTGAACCTTTCAGCTTCATTGTTTTGATATAACAGCACAGCACCACAGCCTGGAATACTCTCATACTTAGATTTCCTATAGCTTCCTCACCAGCTGGGGCCTTTATTCCTTGTGCGAATTTGCAGATGCAGAACAGTGCTGACCACACAAGAAACTGCCTTTCGAGGAGTTTGACCAAGAGAAAACAAAACACAAGAAGTGTGGAATTTTATGCCTTGAATCTCACAGTGCTAAAGTTCATTTTATCCAGACAAAAGCAGGTGCATTTCTCAGAGCTGACTTACACGGTATCGTCACCGGACAGCTTAGTTTTCTTCAAGTGAGATGATTTCAGAGGAAAGCATGAGCACAGTCTTAGCAAGCACTTCTCTGTAATAACACAAGAATAATTCTTGCCCATTTCTGAATTGATGGGAGAGACAACCCCCTACTGGTACCTAGGGCACCCCACCAGATGAAGTGTAATACGCAGGGTCTGCCTGGAAAAGGTGTGCAGGTCTGTCCCCATTTGTCACCAAACTTTTCTCTAGACAAGCTGCTGTTCTGAGTCTGCAAGGCTCTTAACCAGCTGCTTTGCTCAAGTCAGTCTTACGATGGTACCTGGCTTAAAAAGAAACACGGGAGCTGCTGCTCAGCTGCTCGGGCCTGAGGTGGTGAGGAGGCAGGCGCAGTGATTCACTGCAAGCTGGGCAGAAATACTGAAAGCTCGTCTGGTCTGTGACAGGAAGAAACTACAAAATCCATCTACCAACCTGTAGTCAAAGAAGAGCTCTTCACCAGTCTGAATGGCTCTTTTAGCAAATATTCCTATTCTGTGATCACCGTTAACCATCATAACTGTTTAAAAGAAATTTAAACTTATGTTAACACAAATACTGACAAAATATGTATTTTAAATAAACATCACACAACATTTAATACACCACTAAAAGCAAGTAAATTTAAAACTTACCTTTTGCATAGCAGTTGGGATTTACTGAATGGTTTGCAAATCTAATTTTGTTGCCCTTGCGTGTTGCATCCACCACAAAATCTAAGGGGGGAAAAACAACAACAAAACCCACAAATGATGGACAGGTCACCTACAAATTAATTTTGGTGTTTGATACCTAACATGCTGGTATTTTAGCAGCTGGAAAAGATAGCTGCTCAGCTTCCCACGATGAAGAGCTGGCACATCATCCTACAATAGCTTTATTGTTCTGCAAGACACAAAATAGTCCAGCTGCCCCACACTGTGCTATTTATCTCCTGCCACAGCAGCACTACCTCAGCTTCTCATCTGAAAAGCTTCTCTACCTTTATTCTACATGGACAAGCTTCGTAAATATGCTAAGTCAACACTGACATGAAGCAGTTTTTCCTCCTTTCAAATACTTTCTGGACACAGTGCAGTCTGTATTTTCCTCTACAAGTGGCAGTAGCCACAGGCCACATATCTGTGTGTGGCTTTTTTCCCTCCTCAACACAAAATTACCATCGTAACTTACTGCTAATTTAAGCCACAGTAAAATTATTTCAGACAATACCTAGCAGGCCTTTTAATTTCTTTAGGCCACTTACTGCTTGCATGTAATTTTACTGCATGAAATTCTACTCATCTTACATAGTCGGCTTGTGTAATAATTATCTTGTTGGCTTGTGTATAACTGGCGTAGCAACTATCTCACTGACTAGCATTTAGGGGAAAAAGGGAAAAAAACAAAACCAAAACAAAACACAAAACACCCCCCCAACCAACCAGAACACTAGCTATCAATATGAGGAATCCACACGTTGCTAGTAAAAGATGTGCAGAAAAAAAAACATTCCTCGATACCCACTCCCTGCAAAAGAAGAGGGCTGAACAAAATGGTGAGCATATTTTATTTATGCTGCAAGGGTTATGACTAGTACATACATACCATTATTCAAGTTAAACAGAAAGCTGCACATGTATTTGTCATATACTTTTCCTCTTCTGTCTGCCTCATCCTGAGAAATAATCTGAAAGAGACAGCACTTGTAAAAGAGACCACCACTTCCCTTTTGTAACCGTAACAGCTTAATGTCAAAAAATCCCAGACATTCTGAAAGAAAGGTGGGGGTTTTATTCTCTGGGACTGAAAACATTCCCAAACATGAAGTACTGCTTTCAGCAAGCATTCTGTGCTTATCAAACAGCCATGATTTGCACTTAGCATAAGTAAGTTCTTTCAGAGCAAAAGGAAAGCAAGAATTGCTTCTCATCTCAAAATCAAGACTGCATACCTGATGCAGGGTTTTATTACTATAGAATATAATTTAGTGAAAGCACCTACTGAATTTTAGTACTGTACTAAATGATTTTGCACAAAATTCCAGGCACGTCTGAATTGAAATTACATCTAAGATTAAAATGACATTCTAGCCTCTCATTCTCACAAGAACCTATTTCAAATTTTTGGTGGTATTTCAACCACCTAGCTCCTGGGTTTGGAGCCCCAGGCAGCAGTAACTGAACACTTAGTCAGTCACTTCACTGTCTAAACATGATACCAAGTTAGACAATCTCTTGGCCCTCAGCCACCACACAACTTCACCAATTAAGCTCATGCATAACCAGTGTTCTCCATCCTTACCTCACCACAGTATTCAGATATGAATTCGTTCTTCTGTACAGGATCTTTGATGAAAATTCCCCAGCCTGCCACATCTGAAGGTGCCAATAGCAAGTGCTGTGGGAGAAAAAAAAAAAAAAAAAAAGAAACAAAAAACCCCACGAAAACCAAAACCAAAAAAAAAAAAAAACCCACCATAAAAGAAGTTTAGACATGCTTGGCTTGGATTTGGTTTTTGCTTTGGGTTTTTGTTTGTTTGTTGTGTTTTTAATGGTATCACTTAATGAAACATATGTTAGGACTCCAGGACAGAAGACAAACATGGATCCTTCTAATTATCAAATTCACACTAAAATTACAGTTTGTGGATCAAAAGTTGTATGTGAAAGAAAAAACACATGAAGTACTTGAAAACCAAGAAAAACTTTAGTTTAACCTTGAAATGAGGGTGTTACATAAAAACATATGCACTAAGGACTTTGAAGTAGCAAGGTCTCCAGACAGGAAGCCCACTGCTGATTAGCTCAGTATTTGACTGAACTGTTTCATGAGAAGATGTTCCGGAGCAGAAATAAACCTTGGTTGGTTTGTTTATTTATTTAACAGAGCTCAATGGGCTAAGTAGACTGTATACAAGTTTGTGTGTTAGAATCACCAACTGAAGAAAAAACAGCCAGTATCTCTGTCTTGAGCCAAACTTCCTTATGCTGATTTGGGAGAAGACTGACAAGCTCTCATGTTAAAACAGCAGCCTCTTTACAAATTACAAGTGAAGCCTGATTGGGGAAAAGGAGATATTCTACTGCAGCATTACACAGAAAGTACTAATTGGTACATGACAAAACGTACACACAGCTTAACAGCAGCACATAAGCAAGCTAATGTGACAGCTACCCCCCCCTTTTGTTGGGTTTTTGGTTGGTTGGTTGGTTTCTTTTTTGGTTTTCCTGTTTGCCAGCATGAAGGCAAAGAAATTCCATTCTCTGGCGTGAAAATATAAAAACGCCTCAAAATCAAGGCAATAGGCATGTAGTTGTATAATTATCTACATACTTTTTTGGATCCTCTCTGAATGCTGCAGTTCTTGCAAGAAACATTTTTGCTGTCCCAGTGGTCAGCTGCTCCACATGTTAAGCAGAGGTCAGGATCGCATTCGCGTACAGCTAGGTAACATGGACACTGCTTAGTGTTGCATTGTGCTTTACAACGACATCCAGGAAACCTGTTTTGGCCTACAAAGGAATATATGGAAAGCAAAAAGAGCAAGTATGGAAAAAGTACACTGTAACATTAATACAGTGCAGATTATAGCATATATCAGAATATTAAAAAAAACCCATAGCCATTGATATCTGTCTGTATCAGACATTTGGAGGTACTGTAAATTCTTCCTTTCCCTGAATTTCCTGTAGTCTTCCTCACTTTTGAAGACTGTTTCTGACTTCATTCAATGGCTAATTAAGAGGGCCAAATTAAACCAAACGTGCTCTCGTCTCACACAATTTGACAAAATCTGCTGCTCCTGCAAACTCTGTCTGCAGTATGGACAGACTGCTAGTACAGAGTTAGATGTTGGGGCAGTGAAAGAAATTAACAGATAGCTTTTAAATGTTTTACTTACATTCTGAGCTGCACTGACAAAACTTCTCACAGAAGTTTTGAGCAATTACGCATGGGCATGAGCTATCACAAGGCTGACGTGGGTGATCACATGGCTGATAGTTGTAAACATGATTCGATGACCCATCTGAATAAAAATAGCAACATTTTATAAAGTTGAACGGTGCAAACGATATGCAGTTCCCATCAGTCTTAAATGACAAAAAGGGAATTTCCTTTAAACTAAGAAAACCCAAAATATGAACCAAAAAACCCCCAAACATATGACAAGTGAGGTTAAAAAAACCAAAAGGACACCAAACCAGAACTGTAACATTAGTTAGGTGTTTGTCACCATTAACTGCCTGCTTCCTAATGCACTTCATTTTTCCTGTTGCTCAGCTGCTTCGACTATTCAGAACTAAAAACTTTGCTGTGGAAAACTGAAAAATGAAACTACAATGGTATAATATCCTGTGTTCTAGAGTAACACCAATGCTACTCAGCAAAGTAAATTTGCTCAAATACCCAAAGTAATTTTTACTCTGGAGCAATAGCCAACTTTCAAACAGATACACAGGCAAAAAAATACCTGGTCATTATACCACTGTGCTTTCCCAAGTCAATTTTCCAATACAGACAACACTAACTTATAGGCAAGGAGGGACTATTGGGACAGGTCTAGAGCTTTACCTATAGAGCAGCTAGGAGAATTTGGTGCTATATAAATTATATTTGCTGTTAATATCCTGAGCTTGTGTTGGTCTTGCATGTATTTGTAAAAATGCTCAAGCTAGCAATCAGCAACCAAAAAGGAGACACACACAAACTGACCAATTATTTATGTTGCTCGAAGTCCCAACCACTCTCAAGAAATTTTCAGATAACTATTTCTAAAATAAGCTGCTTAAAAAAAAAGGAAAAAAAAAAAAATTGAAAGCCACTTTTTACCGCAGCTCCCATTGTTAATACCATTTTTATCTGTATTTCAACGAGGCCATACTGAAAAGATTGTAAATTCAGCCTCTTTCCCTTTTTATTGAATTATACAGAGCTCTTCCAGTTAGGTAAACCAAACAGTATCTTTTGTCCCTACAACATCAGTAATGAGAGCTTTTTTCCTTTTTGTTCCCCCTCTAATCTCTAGCTCCCCATGGAATGTATATAATGGCCTAACATTAAAAAACCCCAAAACCCCCAAAAAAACGAAACAAAAAAAGCAATAGTAGGATCTTAAAAGTTCAGGACATAAATTGAATGGAAAGATGCTAACCCTTTTTCAGCTGTATCTTTCTGCAATGAGCAGCCCACAACCTGCAAAAACACAAAACACAAGATGGTTGACAGGAACTCCTCCTGCAGTGGGCTGGGAAAAGCAGCTGCATCTTGCACCCACTCTTGTCTTAAAATGGGAAAGTTTCTGGTAACATGAACATCTGCTAACTACACGCAAGCTGGGAATGGCTGCAGCAAGACCAGTCTGTCCCAGTCTCTTGGAGCTCCCCATCAGTGCTCTGCAGGCTGCTCCCCACCTCCCCGCACCATTCCTCTGGCCCCAGGGTTGTCCAGATGAGCAGCCCCCACCCAGCCCAGGCTAGAGAGATCCTTCAGTTGAGATGGCCTGGAAGGAAAACCTGCAAAGAGGAGGCTGCTGAGGCTGCTTCTAGCAGGCAGAGGCAGCAGCAGAAGGAAGGACACGGAACTGCAGGTGTGAAGGGACGGGTCTGAAGAGGAGAGCGAAGGTCTGTCGGCTGTTTGCTCCGCAGGACTTGGCCCCAGCACCAGCTGGGCATCTCCTACAGCCCACGGCCAGCTGCGACCCTCCACCTGCTCAGTGCCAAGTACGTGGCAACAGATCACGTCTGCCTGGCACAGCCACACCGCTCATGCGACCTCAGTATTTCTTCTGGCTGGACAGGCTTTTCCCCAGTTTGTTCTGACGGGTGGGACTGTGATAAGCCTTTTCCCTTTTACTTCAAACTCTATATACCTTTCTCTTACATTCTGAGAGTTTCCCTTCACTGTCCTCTTTCTCCATTAGCCCAATTAAGCACTCCCTTTGCAAGAAGTGGTGTTTCTGTTGCTGGAGGCAGGCGGGGTTTAATAATATGCTTTTGGCTATGATAACATAACTCGCTGCACTTTAAAGTTCTTGCAAGCTAAAACTGGACCTATTTTGCATCCATTTCAGATTGCAAGCTCTTTGGGAAGGAAATGTCTCCTATTTCATGAATAGCTGCGTCAGACACAATCTAGCAAAGGCGCCTGTCTGGACCTTAGGTACCAAAAGGAAAACCAGACTTAAAATTCAGTAGCCTTAAAATTAAAGGTGAAATCAACGGGTTTAGTTTTACTTCAATTCTATGTATTTTATTTGGCACTTAAATTTCAGTGTACATAATAAAATACTTAGATTAAGGTTTTTCAAAGTTTATACTTCTTGGACGTTCTTAGTATGTCATACAGCAACGTTAAGAGAATATGGGAGAAGCCTCATTCCTTGGCCAAATAATACACTGCTAGCTGCATCTAGCTACCTCACTTTCTATGCAGATTTACTTAGCAGTCCAAAATATTCATGAACATATGCACTAAAAAATCTCCAGGATAGAACACTTAGAAAGCTATTCTGCCTTTCAGTGAATGAAACACTTAGCAGTTTGCATTCTGAAATAAATCTCCCCTGCAATAACTACTTAAACAGGACTTTTTTAGCTGCTACTTCTTTCCTAAAAACAAGGTATCAATTTCCACCTTAACTGAGTGGTGTGCTGGCCCCACCACCACACACAGCAGCTTTAGGTAAGGATGATTCTGTATGCAATTGCCCTTTCAAAGAAAGCTTTACCATTAGACTTAACGTTAAGTGCTTGACAGCCAACTTTCTCACAAGCATTTGAAGGAACCCACACACGTTAGACACCCACTGTGGCAGACTTGTCCATGTAACTGAGGTTAAGGGGAGGGAACAAACTCAAGGATGTTATACAGCATTACAGAGCACTGTATTAAATAGATGACTACTATGAGTGACTCACTCTAGAAAAAAAGGCACCATTGACACCATCAACAAAGCATTAATACTAATAACCCCTCAAAACCGATAGAAAATTAAATGTGGCATCACAATAGCAAAGGCATAAGCTTAGCCACTTAACAGAGATTGGTGTCACAGGAGGAAGACAGTCTAGCAATAAAGGAGCTGGAGACATACAGTGTGAGCATGAACTGTGAGGAATAACAGAGGAAAACACGAAGCAGCTGCCAACACTGACCAATTCGACAGGAGGTTTGATTAGCACAAATAGTACATGCATTGGCTTCTAACTTTCAAGAACTGCCAGAAAGCACCCCAAGTTCCCCTGATTAGTGCACAAAGCTGAAGCCTGAAAGAGTACCATGCTCAAGGTGGACTAATTTATCTATCTGCCCTAAAATCTGCTATCTCAAACAGAAACATAAGGCAAGATCTAGTCCCGTGCACCAGGCAGCAAAGGCAAGGAAAAGACCGAAAGTTGAGAAAGCACTCAAGACTCAAAGCTTCATAAACAAAAGCAAATTGGAAACTCCATGGCATATTTCCAAGCAAGCAGGTGGATTCATGCATCTGGTTGCTGACAGCTGCAGGATATCCAGATTAGAAAACAAGTGTTTCCAGAGGCATTGTGACAGAAGCTGTCAAAAATATTGTTGTTCTCTGCTAACAACCGACTAGATCTTGCCTGTGTTTTTAGGAGGCACTGGTATCAGCTAATCAGGCAGTAGAAATGCTTTCTCTGAAGCTACAGTCACATTTCTTTCTCTGCACAGAGATACTCTGCTACCAGAAATAGCACTGAAAATTCAAAATACATGCCAACTATGTCAATATTTTCTTTTCTGGCATCACTCAAAGACTTCTTTTCAGTCTCCTAAATCATATCTTATCCACTCTAAGACTTGGCCTACCAACTAGGTGGTACATGACAGTATCTGTGCCGATGCCTCAGCTACAGGTTTTGCCCAATAACAGCGAGGGATGTGATATGAAAAAAAGCTCTGCAGACACCCAAGTCAATGAAGAAGGAGCAGGGGAGATGTGCCAGAGTAGAGACCTCCCTGCAGCCTGTGGTGAGAGGGCAGGCTGTGCCCTGCACCCACGGAGGTCACCGGTGGAGCAGATGCCACCTGCAGCCCACGGAGGACCCCACACCGGAGCAGGGGGATGTGCCCAGAGAAGGCCGGGACTCTCAGGGAAGCCCACGCTGGGGCAGTTCATCTCTGGCACCCTGTGGAAGGGACACACACACTGGAGCAGTTTGGGAAGAGCTGCAGCCCTTTGGAAGGACTCACACAGGAGAAGTTCATGGAGGACTCCCATGGGAGGAACCCCATCCTGAAGCAGGGGAAGAATGTGAGGAGTCCTCCCACTGAGGAGGAAGAAGTGGCAGAGATAACAGGTGCTGGACTGACCACAACCCCCATTCCCCATCCCCCTGCTCTGCTGGTGGGGAGAAGGGACAGAAATTGGGAGCAAAACTGAGCCCAGGAAGAAGGGGAGGGTGGGGGGAAGGTGTTTTTAAGATGTCATCTCATTTCTCACTGTCCTACTCTGTTAAATTACTGGCGGTGGTGACAGTGTTCAAATTAAATTGACATTTTTTTCCCAAGTCAAGTCTGTCTTTTGCCTGTGACCATAATCGGTGAATGAGTTCTCCCTGTCCTTGTCTTGACCTCCAAAGCCTTTTGTTATATTTTCTCCTCCCCATCCCACGGAGGGGGAGGAGTGAGTGGCCACATGGTGCTCAGTTGCCCACTGGGCCTAAACTGCCACAGACATCTTTAGAGAATGCTTGGATTACAGTTAGCATGTAGGTAAACTAAAAGGTTTTCCTTCTTTAAAAGGCTACTGCACATAGAAGAATGGACACAGATTGATTGCCACATAGTCTGTGAAATCAAAAAATAAAAAATCTCATTCCTTCAATAAGAATTAAAATAATTAAAACGCATTTCAAAACTAAATTGCTAGCATAGAAGTTTTTGTCCTGGCAGCTAATATGCACAAAATAACGTCGAGAGACCCCACACAATAGTATGTGGTTTTATTTATTTGGAAGAAAGACCCAAACCAAAAAAGTCTCTACACTCCTCCAAAACAATGTCAACCTGGTAACCATGGAATACATTTCAGTTTCAAAATACACTCAAGCCTTTCAGCTGCTCTTTTCAAATAGATGTAGTGGCACCATCTTTATAGCAATTTGGGCGAATCTGAAAGCAAGCTAATTCCCAACTCCATATTCCAAACTTGCACCATGGCTAATAACTGCAAGATTTAAACACCCAAGCCCACCAAATTCCCAAAAACTTGAAAAGTGTGCCAAAAGCACTAGATCCATAGTTTTTGCTGAGAACAGAATCTCTTCCAGATGCTCACTTAACCTTCCCCTAGCTCTCATCAGCTGCCTCTCTGCTACAAAGCAAAAACACTTTACCCCACGTCAACAATATCTCTGAGCCAGTGTCAGGAGTTTCACTAAGTCTGGATATAATAAATATACTTAGACAAGCTAAGACAGAAGCAAGAATTGACAAGAGAAGAACTGGAAGAACAAACATGGGAGAAAAAAAGGAAAGTTAAAGGGAGAAATAGAAAACTTTATGGAAAAAAGTGTACTTATTGCTTGCAAAAAGAAAAGTTCTTTCTAATTTTCAGTCAGCTTTTCATCTCCTGCGTTCTTATGCCTGGGAATGAAAATAATCAAAGCCAAGTCGCATTTTTCAAACCTGGGGATTCTCAAAGAAAAATGCCTTTCTTACTGACAGCCAGCCACCAAGTTTACAATTTCAACAGAAATTGTTTCAGATTATCTTTGGGGCTTCAGCAAAATGCTTGATTTTAGTCTTCCTTGCGGCTTCATTTCAAATAATAACTTGTTAACCTGGTTCTTTAGTTGAAGTTCTAGCTGAAAATGAAACTGGGATGCTAAAAAGGACTAGCATCTCAAAGGAAAAAAAGGCAATCCTACTAGTTTGCTACAACATTCTTGCTTACTAATTATCTGAATCTTAATGGAAAATACTTCATTATAAAAAACCCATGAGTTTTCATTTGCAAAATACCATATAATCCTAACTGAATCCTATTAGATTGCTTGTAAATTTAATATTTATTGCTGAAAACAAAATTATACCACAATACCATGAATGTTATAACAAGCTGTGTAAAGTATTTCTAATCTAAACTTAGTTTGGCTACTTGCAGCAATACACCTACAAGAATCTGCTAAGAAGAATCTGTCTGTTGGAGGCTAAAAAGAAGGGTGAGGGAAAGAGAAGTGTAAGGTTACACTTCCACTTATACCACCAATGCAGTAAGACTTTTGTATGATACCAAAACACCATTTTGTTTTTGGAAGCAAAAGGAAAAGATCTGCATGACACTTAGTCCAAAATACTTTTTGTTCTGATCCCCTGTTCTCCATTTTATTGTTATGCTAAGGTTATTTAGTAACAGATTTACCTGTGTTTCCTTTTCTTCTTTCTGGGAGGAGTATCAACATCTTCAGCAGGGACTGGAGCAATAATACTAGATTCCTTTACTCTAAACTCATACACCTAACAAGAGATACCATAACACATCCACGATAAATCTCTCACTAGTAGAAAATTGCTCATTTTCTAAGTTAGTATGATTTTCTACAACCATCAACTTACAGGTTATATCCACTCAGCCTCTTTTCAATACACTTAAAGTTGATTATTTTTGTCATTTAAGAACAGTCTAATTTAAACCTCCTGGAAATTTAATTTAAAAACAGTTTTAAAACTAACTTTTACATATTTGTGGCACGAATTCTTGATCATAGCATTCTTGGGAAAACCAAGAAAATGAATTAACTTTCTCTGTTAGTAGTCAATACTACTATTTCTATACTTCAGTTTTAAAAGTAAAATGCTATCATCCTTATTAAGTAGCTTCCCTTCTTACCTGCCTGCATGTTTTGGTCCCAATTAGTCTGGCAATTGCACAGAAGTTGTCATAGTAGGTACCAATAAGAACTCTAAACATTGAGGCTTCTGCACCACTCCATTCTACATTCTCCGGAGGCTCAATATTTGGCTTCATCTTTATTGGTGTTTGACACCTAGAATTTGCTTCTGTAATAAATAATTGAAAGTGTGGATCAACATAAGGCTATGTTTCAGGAATTTTACACAGCCCTTAAAAATGCTGAATTATTAACTGTAGTTAAAAATATCCCAGGTTTTTGTTGTTGTTTCCTAATTTAAGTGCCACAACAAAACAGCACTTTTCACATACCTTTTAAAGAAGTTAAAAATTGTGTAATTTCAGTAACTACTGTTACCTAATCACAACTCTATACATAAATTGGGACAATCTGGAAATTTTCTTACAGGGTTCTATTTGATTAAACTCATATTATTACACACTCTTTTCACCCAGTTCCATGAATTCCAAATACATGTTTTCTAGGATAGCATGGCTCAACTTTTTTTTTTTTTTTTTTTAATCCTCTCAAGCACTGCAGCTAATTGAATAAAGCAGCATTGACTGCCTTACCAGAGGAACTGGATGTTTCATCTTTCTTTTCTTCTTCTTCTTTATCGTTGTTTTCTCCTCCAGTTTCAGTTCCAGCTTCTCTATCACTATCTGTGTCTTTTGATTCCAGTACATTTATTGTCGGTGTGCTGGGTCTGCTGGTGTTGTTTGGAAGTCTTCCCCTTCGGCGGCCACCTGGGCGCTTTGGTGGTGTCTTTATACGCTCAGCAGTCAAGGCAGCTGCAAACTCCTTTGCACCTTCCTAAACACAAAACATTATAATTTTCAGCAAACAAATTAAAAAGTAATTTTACCTGTGGTCAGGCACTGGGGGAGAACATGTTCTACCTGCATACTGTATAACTTTGCATCATTCTACAAATCAATCATGAGCACACAAATTCCAGTTAAATGTACTCTAACCATGAACATAAATATTTTTGATGCGATCATGAATAAAAAAAATAAAAATCTATGTTTACAAAGTACTTATGTCAATATTTCAGTTCCACTTTCATTTTTCCTGCTACGTGAAAAATATTCCAGTAAAATAATCCAGTATAATCCAGTAGTAAATTTCTGTTTTCCTAGATGACAGAAAAAAATTGAGAATTTCCCACAGAGAATACCCTCCAAAATATAAGAACTCCTCTTGCGCATGGCACTTGAACTATCTGCGTTCTTCATGGTTTTTAAATGCAATCACTGATCATTTTTTTTCTAGTGGAAAAGGGTATGACAACGAGTAGCAAGTTTTTAGATTGGAAAATCACATGGTTTCACATACTAAAAAATTTAGAGAAAGTACGAGAGAAATTTGAAATTATATTACTAAGGTTTCCACCTTATTAATTTCCATTCTGTTGTTTCTTAAGAGCACTAATACTGGATGGAATCCACCTTTAGCAAACTAAAAAAACTTTATAATTTTTAGTTGTGATATAACTTATGAGAGGGCTAAATCTATAAGACCCAGTTCTTTGACTAGATTGGACACAATAGCAGCAACACATTTTTACGAGGTAATAATCTTTCTTCCCTACAAATATGTCAAACTACATTTAACAGAGCTAAAAATTATTCCTACTTAAAACTTTCATTTGATAATTGGAAATTCACTCTTTTCTTTCACATGAACTGAAGATAACTGCAAGTGGCCCAGAAGTATATTCACTATCATAGATCCAGCATGTTCTTAAACTAAGTGTAGCTTGCTATACTGCAGCTAGCACTAGCACTTAGTGAATTTTAACATATGAAATTATCTTACCAGATGTTGATAACAGTGCGGTCCACAAGGCTTATTATCTAATGCTGTTTCTGTATTCTTTCGTTTATAAGTATTAGGAGTTGCATGGAATGCTGTTGAATCAAAATACCACATTTGTAAGTTTTAATATTAAAACCACATTAAAAATCCAGCCTCAAAGAGTATCCAAAACACAAGGTTTACCAAGACTTTACTAAAATCAAAATAAAAATAACAAATGTGAAAAACACAAAACAAACCCCATCTAGTGACATTTGACTTATCACTTAAATAGCTAGAGAGGCAGCACATGGGTAAATTTCACATATGCCCGTTTACCTCAGTGAAGACAATCATTTGTTTCGTGTATCAAGGAAGATTTGCTGTATCCCTCTTCCCAACAAACAGAACAGCCTTACTTCTGTTACCTTGTTAAACAGAGTTCTTCAGGGCTTCTCCTACTAATGCTTCTCCTAGCAATCTACAAAATTCAGGTATTCAACTTCTGTCTTGTCAAAAAAATCCAACTCCACACACTTTGGAAAGGTAATGGACCCACCTTTCATTTTTGTTAGTGAGAAGGACACATAAGCATTTTTACTCTATTAGTTTATCAGCACTCCAATTAGCTGACATGTGACGAGTTCAGTTCCTATATCCCAGCTGCAGGGTAGAACCAAGCTAGCATTGCACAGTCGCTATGGGTGAGCACAACCGCAGTTAAGTCTGCGACTTGCTGAGGAGTGTCTGCTCATGCGGGCGACAGACTCTGGTTAAGTTGCAGAACGGTGACTCAGAACGGAGCAGGGCTGGGTATGTTACAGATGTGTCTTGGTTTGGGCTGAAATAGAGTTAATATTCCTTTTCAGGGACTAGATGAGTGCTGTGTTTTGGATTTAGCTTTGGGTTTGGTGTCAGAAGAATGCTGATAGCACACTGGTGTTTCAGCTGCTGCCGAGACTTCAAGGACTCTCTGACTCCCCATGTCCTGCCCGTGCGCAAGAAACAGGGAGGGAGCACAGACAGAGCACGGGACCCAAACTGGCCAGTGAAATATTCCATAGCATGGCACGTCATGCTCACTGTACAGAGGAGGGGTGGCTGGGAAGGATCTCTCTCTCTCTCTCTCTCTCTCTCTCTCACTCCAGGATTGCGACTGTGGGATCTTGGTATCTCGGGGTCGCTGGCCGGGAACGGGCTGGGGGTTGCTCAGCGGGTGGGGAGCAATTACGCTGTACATCGCCTGTTGATATATTTATTTTTGTTTTCCCCCTATCATTGCTATTGTTCTCGTTTTATTGCCATTATTAAACTGTTCCTATCTCAGCCTGCGAGTCTCCCTTCACCCCTCTAATCCCTCCCCCATTCCCAGGTGGGGAGGGGGACGGGAGGGTGATTAGCTGAGGGGGTTGGCTGCTGACCAGGCTCAAACCACGACAAGATGCAACATGAGCACCTTTATAATGGGATGGCAGAGTTTCCTACCCATTCACTTTGCCACAGCTCACCTCCACCAGCTCTCCCCCTGCAATCCCTGCCTCCCGGCAGGATGTTTTCAGAGATGCTGACTTTCCCAATTTTGCTGGAAGTCTAGGGAGTTCTTCTGTATTCCTTATTTAACTGAAGCCTGGAAAACCTGCAGCTAGACTCTCATCAGAACTCATATGTCTACGTTCCCAAATTATATTAGGAGCTTTTTGAAATATCACCCTTAGTTTTCAGCAATTGTATTTAAAAAAAAAAAAAATCCTCCATGCTCAAGGAATTAATTTTTTTGTTTATATAGACAGACAGGTATCAATAAATACTTTGTCCCCCCTAAATGTGCTAGCAGTGGCATACACAACTACAAGGAACAAAAATGGAGAATGCACTCAATGAAAAAAAAAAAAAAAAAAAACAACACACACACAAAAAAAAAACAAAACAAAACAAACACAAAAACACAACACAAAACCCCACAAACTACTCAGTGCTGTCTGCTTCCTAACGCTCCATTAAGACCTACAGAAGACACTCATCTGGAAATGCACAATTGCCAAGCACTGTAAAAGCATTTATGCTGCAGTTTTACCACAGCTGCAATTAGCCAACTGTAACTTACAGTGAAGTTTTTCAACACTCAGTGAACAAAAAGTGCTAATGTTCAAACTGAGAGAAAAAATCCCTCCCCTCTTACCCATATTTATCAGTAAGGGCTGTTCCATACCAACACCACACACATCCTTCCCCTTCAGTAAGCCACCACCACAGGCTTTCCTACACCTCTTATTTCTACATTGTGCATGAGGCTTCTCCTTATAATAGCCCACCATGCCTTCAAGACTGAACATTTTAAATGAAGTTCCTTCCCCATTAAAGAATGTGGGCAGAGCTCACATGTGTCTTCACAAAGTTTTTAAAAGCAAATTTCATTTCAGTGATCTGGTTTGCAGTGTAGCTCCACAAAGCACTTGTTTTGGCACCAGTGGGGAAGGTGACCATTGGTGGTGAGCACTTCTTAAGAGAGCTTCTCTGATGAAACCACTTCATCTTGTAACCATCACTTCATGCTCCCCTCCCATAGGGGAAGGTGTGCTGGAAATCAAGTCATAAATTCTATAATCTTATGCCCGTATTAATGACAGCTGCACATGGGAACCCCAAGGAAGCAATGTATTCTTCCAAGGCTTTCTTAAAAAGGTATAAACAATATAAAAGTATCACTAATTAAATATAGCATCACTTTCTCCAGCGAAACATATTACATTTTATAAATCTGGAAACACAAGAGAGCTTCAATTTTAAACACATGGACATATAGATATGTAAAAATTATTTACAAGCAAATATAATAATGTAGTTTAATGCATACTGTTGCTACTAGCATTCTTTCTTCCCCCATGTTCCAGTTAAAAGCTTTTACACGGTATGTCACTTCGCATGTTTCACATATCCTTGAAGAGTTCATACATGCTGTAGGTAAAATAGGTTAAATAACAAAGAAACCTTGCAATTGAATGCCAAGTCACTCCAGCTTTTTCCAGCGTTTAAGAAACAATGGGAACTCCACCCACCCAAAAGTAGAGGGGAGAAAACCCACATTTTTCAACACTGCATCTTTAAATTTCCACAGGATACCATTTCATTCATTGATGTTTTGGTGGTTTTTTTTTCCCCACATAAATATTTTACCCTCACTCCATACTACAAGGAAAATAATTTTGCAACAATGCAAAAGAACAGTAAAATATTTGCAAGCCATGATCCATATTGGACTGCTGCAATGTGCAGAAATCAAAACTATTCTTCTTACATGTCACTTGCAGATGCAAACATTTCTCTCACAAGTTCATTTGTTCCAGGTCCTAAAATGAGTGTTTATTTTTTTAAAAAATGTTTTTCTTTAGACAAGGAAGAAATATTTAGTTTGTAATTCAGTGAACAAATTAACATTTGACTATTTAAACCAGGAAGACCTGAAAAATACGCTATATCTGATACTTAGTATTAGAATCATATCTTATGTTCCACTGTTTCAAAAAGACCAAACATAGTATAGTACTGATAACTATAGTCAAGAATCTACCACCACTGTTGCGAAGTATTTCTTGGGGAGGGTTGTAACAAATAAGTGACCCATGACAAGAATAAAACCATACAGCTGTATTATGAATCTTGCAAATATCAGTGGTAATTTTTCAAAAATCAAAGATGACTTTGCAGGATTTCCTAAATAACTAAACTCCATATTTCACCAATAATTTCCTTAAGAAAATCATTCTAAAACTGCTTCATTGAGCATGTTTTTTGTCTTTGAGATTTATTACCTGTCTCATCCCCCAATGGGCTCAATTATCACATTTTTCATAATGTGAAAGTACACAGGCAACAGTTTAGCCTGAAATGTACATCTGCTTCACAGTCAAGCTACTTGGGAAATTCTCCCTACCTGATCTTTTTCCTTCTTCTAAATTCTTTGTTAGTCCAGACATTTAGGCATAATTCCTTGCTGTCAGCAAATGAAGTCGGTACACAAGTTTTTTCAGTAATGTCATCACCTGCACATAAAGGGATTGCCAGGTTGTCAAGGGGACTTGACATGTTAAAAATCTAATGATAACTTTTCCAATATTTAACTCAACTGTTCTAGAACAAAGATTTGAAATTCCATAAAAGAAGGGTAATCTTAACAAAAATGGAATCCAAAAGGGGGAATTGCAAAAAATCAATACCACACCTAATAGCATTCCTGTACTTTTTTATTTCTCTATGCCTTCTCCAGATATTTGTGCCTTTCAAAGTACAAATCTGATCACTGTAGCCCACCACGTTACCAAAGTAATTCATCAAAAAAGTCACCTGCAGAAGCCAGGACATCATCCTGTAATGCTTAGCAATTGCAAGTAGTACAACAGAAGGGCAAGTGATTAGGGTGCTAGTAGAATTGTTACCAACTTTTTTAATTAGTTAAATTGCTAAGGTGTTGCAGAGACACTCAAAATTGTTAGTGTAGCACCAATAACCAGAGTAGTCTTTTTCTGATGAGTTACTTATTCCCAGCAATGATCTGGTGGATTTTGATCAACAGTCTTAAAATTTCACAGAAAGTGAAGAGGTCATACAGCTTGACCCTCTCAGTTTTTAACAGGTAAATTCCTAGCTCTAGACAGACACACAGACAGACACACAGACAGGAAACAATCCTATTTCTTTGGTGTTGCTACAGACAAAAGCAGAAGGAAGCAATGCATCCAAAGCTGTGACCGGTAGTTGTAGACGTGGGACTCGGGTATGTCTTCAGGGAATGGTGACTGAAGCATTAGTTTACTACATTCAGTGTCCAGTATGAAGGCTACATAATGAATGTATAAATCAAGCTTCAAGAGATCTCTTTGCTATGATCAAGTATCAAATATATTCCTATCGGTGACAATGCATGTAATGCATAAGCTGTCATGAAGAATATTATCGCAACAGGTAATTTCACACTCCATCTTGACACAGAGCTACATCCTGAATGTCTCCACAGTGGAAGTGTTATTCCTCCTTCTTTCTGCTATGGCCCTGAAAACCTCAAGAGATAACTTAAAGTTTGGGCCTTTTTAAGTACAAGGCATGGTTTGAAATGAAGCCTTGGACATACATCACTTTGGAAAGAATATCGAATTGTTTAAAGGACTTGTCAAAAATCACCAGCAATGAGAACTTAGGCAATTTAAGTATTTAGCATAAACACTTTGTCTTCCATCTGAAGGTGATGAACACAGAGAACAGGGGCACAATGCTTTCGACTTAAAGGACTGAGGTCCCTCAGTCAATCAGTAACGTGACACTGGATTTTGTTTTAGCTGAATCTGGCACTTAAGAACATGTCAAAATGAACAACACTATGCACCTGTCCTTCACAGCACTAAAAGAAAAGAAGCCTCACAGAGTTGGTGCCTCAAAACTGTGGACTGGTAATGCCAGGCTCCCCAGAGTAGTAGGTACCAAAATGTGGTCTATGAATCCTTTCAGTTCTACTTCTAATAATCTGCAAAAATAACTACAAAAGGCAAATCTATATAAACTACAGAAGTAATCAATTATGTGTGTATTTTAGAGGAACCCATACCTTCACTGGAAAAATCCTATGGGTTTATAAAATTAGTGAGGAAATGGCCTAAAACCACTGCTGCAGAAGCACCTAAAATCTTCTGGAGTGCTACAGGAAAAAGCTTGTTCTCACTATGTCTGGACAATGCTTTCTTGTTGACTTAAAAACCAAAATTCTTCTGAAGAAGTAAAACTAGACTGGCACTCAGTCTCCCTGCTAGACTATTGAGAGTGTCAAGAACTTGTAAAACCACTGCCAGACAAATGGATTTGCCAAGAGGTAGCATGCAGCTTCCACCTCCCTGTCCTACAGAGTAAGGCTGTACCCAGAACTTCTTGGAATGAGTCATCCAGGCAACTAAGATACTTTTAAACAAAACCTACAGCTTCTCAGAACACACTGTGTTGAAGCTGGCTGGAGAAGGCAGCAGCTATAACTCCCGAAACTTACTGTTCTTAAACATTATTCAGAAGTAAGAGCTTCTTTCTTTGTATTTTCAAGCAAGGCCTGCCAACAGAACGCAGGGAGAAAGTGAAACCAACAGACTTAACTCCAAAAGCCACAAATACTAGAAAAACCAGGAACGGGAAAAGTTTCCCCTGTCCCCACCATCTGAGAACAACTCCAGTTCCTCCTCAAACTGAAAGGCAACTAAGGGATACTAAAAAGCAGCAGCACTGTGTAAAGCCTTCAGTGTGAAGTACAAATACAGGCAGATTGCATGTGTGCTGGATGGGGAGCTGCTGACAAAGCACAAAGATTTCCAAATGAACAGGCATGCACACTCACAGTGGAACATGCACATGAACAGTTTAAGTAAAAAGAGAAAATTAATTTGAAATAGAGGGCATCACAGTATTCCACTACAAGTCGAAATCACTTCATATTTGACTGTTTGGTTCCCCTTTACATTTGACTTCGTTCTCAGAGAAAGAATAGTCTCAAGTAGCACTTCAGAATCTCTCTTATTCTTCACATTTTGCAAATGGGAACTAACAGCACTGCTAACTCTCCTGTTAAATCCTTCCCTCAAAAGAACGAAGCAACATGAAAGCAATTCAGTGAAAACGACATCACAATTTCTAAAACTCAGCTGAAACAATTATTCTTCAAATCACCAGGTACAAGTGAAATGGCTAGAAATTAACCTGAGAGAAAAAAAGATAAAACTGTTCATGGATATTCATTCTCCCTGCTGGAAAATTAAGCAAGTCTGATGAATAACCAGGTATTTTTATGGAGAAATATATTCCATTCTCCATGCACAAACCGAGAAAGTGTAACACAGAAACAACAGTAGAAAACACAGTTTTCTTGAAGACTATAAAAAGAGAAGTAACATTACAGGTTGGTCCAAGCCAGGAATTCTATACAAACTCTTAAATGCAAAAAGATAACAAACAACCCCAAACACGTGCATTCAGTTTTTGGAGCTATAGTTTTCCCTGAAAAATGATGTCAACATGGGCAAGTTGTTTTCGTAAACTTTAGCGATATTACTGCTTTTATTTTTTCTTCTCTTTCCTTCCTTCTGTATTGTATCTTATGGCACTTCTCAGTTTCCTGACTTGCAAAAAATAAGATATACAAGTGCACTATAATTATACTTACGATGCAAGAAGCAATCATATTTAAAACAGCGTCTACAGAAGAGTGTGTGAAAAGAGTGCAGGCTTTGCTCCCTCTGGACAGATTTAGCATTTGGTCCATCTATGTTTGGTGTGCATTCAGGAGGAAGAGCTCCAGGAAGCTGCTGCTCAGTGAGTTCTTTGTATCTTAAAATAAAGAAATAAAAGTTATTTATCCAGTATAATTACAAAAAAATATTTTTTTATTCCAGTATCACTCTGCATTTCCAGTGACAAATTTAGAAAAAATTAAGAAATATGTGCCAGCCAGAAAGGTCAATCTGTCAGTGACATGACATGTTATTCATTCCATACTCATTAATACAAATATAAAATTGGCTAGGAAAGAATGCATTTATTTTTTGGACTGTCATCTCCTCGCATATATTACTCACTAACTCCACAAAGGAGACTTTCATTTTTTAAACAGCAGCTTTTATTTTACCACTTCAAAAAAATAACAGAGATTATTAAACACATGCAAACACCCTTTTCAGTAGTTTGAAAGGAAGGCTAATAAACACCTCTGTATTGACTCGGTGGGAGGAGCCAATTCCCTTCATGTATCACTTGTAGAAGTTACACAACTGCCACAGAACCTAGCTGCAAGGGACCACTCCTAATCAACAAACATTTAATGAAGTCAAGAAATCTTTTTTTCATAAAGCAACACAGTAACATATCCCAAGGAATACTTTCTTACTTCTCTTTCAATTCTTCTGCTGTACCCTTGTCTGGGAACATTGAGGAAATGGCTTCAAATATCTTGTCAGAAGGAAATCTCCGAGGTGGATGGCTTTCTTTCTCTGTCAAAGCAAAAAATTTGGAAAACAAAAAAAATATATTCCTCATCTTCCGCTACTTCAAGGAGGTATTCATAGAAAGGGGGACTCTTCCAAAATCCTTATTAAAAAAAAAAAAAAGCAAAGGGTTTTCATTTCTAAATTACAGATAAACTGCATTAAGTGATCTTTCCTGCTGAGAGAACTCTACTAGTGAAATATGGAGAAACCATTATTTCACCAGCAGATGGAGATGGCAATTCAGAACGCTGCGCACTTTAGAATACTGATGTTTTATTTCTGAGAAGTACCAAAGCATTTATTAGACAGATACGTGACTGGTTTTTGCTGCATTTGACTGTCTCGGTATACAAGTGAACAAAAATTGGCAAAAGTGCCTTTCGTACTATTCTCTGTACATCCCAAATTAAATGGCAAAGGAAATGATGAAGAAAACGATGCTACTTTAGACCTGAAAACTATCAAGTAGAAGGGTTTGAAAAAATTTATTGAGTGATTAAAGAAAAGGGTTTTTTGGTTTTAATTTTTAAAGTCTGCAGACAGACATACCCATCCTGTTACCTTCCCGATCTTTTTGCTTGTCATCTCTTTCATCAGGATTGTCATCTCCATCATCATCATCTTCATCATCACTATATTGACCAAGTGCATTGACCAGCTCAACGAATATTTCATCATTGATAAATCCACATTCTGAAATTCAGCAAAATTGGGAGTGAACAGAAAAGTACAAGGTTCATATGAAATATTTTTGTTCCTCCCTACACCTGAATTAAATGATGTCAATTGCTGTAATTTAGGAAAAACAATTTTTCCCTCTTCGTTTCAATGTATGAACTGAGAAGTTAAAAATACTCAGTATTTATTTCTTAGACTGACAACTGGGAAGGGGAGAAGCAAACTTGTTGAATTTTTTTTTCCCTGACTGTGCTTCATACCAGTAGACATAAATAAACCTCTCTTCCTTGGAAGATAAATTACTTACTAGCTAGACTATTTAAGACATTTTATGCCAGAATCCCAATTCCAACATGACTGGATTAAGCCAGGTGGAAATGCATACCAACAGTCTATGAATCTATCCTTGGACAGCTAGGCAATCTCCAGAGAGATTTTTGGTTGGTAGCTCATAGCATCCACTTCCCCCCATAGGCCCCACTGGCAAGGTGATAAGATACAATGCTGCATATATCTGTTTATTAGCTTATATTCTGCTGTGAAATTCACAGGGCAGCACAGATAGACAGTAAGGCTTTTCTTCAGAGAGGAAAATCGTAGTTAGTGTTGACAGAGACTATTATTTTTCAAAAAAATAACCATAAACTGTGGGGCAACTGTAGTGCTTATCACCATCCTTTTGAACCTGGACTGGGGTTGGACATCAGACTATAACTTGAAGGAAAGTAATCGTTTTATTCCTATGTAGACAATGAAAACAGGCAGGTACTTCGTTTGGATGTTTGAAACTGAATTCTTAATATACACACACAAGTTAGTATGAATTTCTCTCTCAAAATTGCAATTACAGAGCTAGTTTACAATTCTGACTCCTCCATGAGAATGCCTCTGGATTACAGATTCCCACAGCATTTACATTCAATTACAGTCACACAAGAATACTAGTTATTAGGAGACTAAAAAAACATCTTTCTACTTCCAATACATAGTTTTGAAGGACCCATAATAACAGTAATTGCTGTCATAAACTTGGGACTCAAGACAGTGAAAAAAGATTAATTTTAAAGCTAGACTCATTTCATAATGAAATAAATCAATAATAGAAAACATTTACTACTAATGTCACTATTTTGACAAAAACAGTTTTCTGACAATGATGGCAGCAATCGCTGTATCTGTAAAAATATCCAAAGGCAAAACCCCATGAAACATTTCATATTCCTCAAGTAGTATAAAGGCACCAGCTGTCCTGAGGACATTAACAAGACTGGATATGACTGAGTAGCATTTGTTATCAAATTGCAGGCTTAAACCTTTGAGTGGCACACGATGTAGTCAAAAACGTAGTTTTCTCTTTCTCAGTCACTCCCGCATTAACAGGAATCTAACCAACTTTAAGAAACAATTCCCCATTTGGGTGGAGGGGGTTGTGTGGGTAATGTTTCTGTGAAGGGAGAAGCCTAGTAGTCAGAGAAACCTTTACAACAGTAAAGTTCAGGCTTGTATAAGACAGTTATGAGTGGGCACACAGAGCAAGTGAAAGGTTACTACTTCACTGAGACTTTAGCAAACTAACAGATAGATGACATTGCATGTAGTCCAGCTCCCACACAGAACAAGACGTAAACTATACTTGTGAATACATATACATCGTGTACCAACAGAAGGATACCATTTTGCTCTGTAAGCTGACTTACAGAAAGGAGGCTTTTAAGTAGCTAATAATTTCCTTAAAGGAAAAAAAGCCCCGAACCGGTAAGAGGTTATTCTATTGAATCGCATTCACAAGCGCTGTCTTTATCAGAGTTTTGCATACTTCTCCTGCCACTTTCTGCTAGGCAGGACACATGTACGGACTTTACATTATTATATTCCAAAGCTCTGAGCATAAAATTGAAGGCCAAGAACGTCTCCAAGTTGCACCTAGGTATTATAACTCACTGAATGGTCTAGAGAAAAAGTTAATGTATTTAATTTCTCTGTACTACTACTTTAACAATTTGTACCCTTATTATGAAAATGTAAAACAATATATTTAAATAAGGAAGTTTGTTATACCCAGTGTTTACACAGTGTAGGGATTCTAGAGATACTATTGTAACAATCAAGCATCAGGCCTTAACAAGCAACACTGACAAAAATTATTTATGTAGGAAGAAGCGATTAGTATACCTGAGAGTTTGGGCTCACCTCTGTCTCCATGCACTTTCCCATCATAGTTCTTGATCAGTTCTTCAATAAAGGTACCATCCTGGTCAAGCACTTCATCTCCCATATATGGAATGTTATGTAAAACAGTTTCATCCTCTACCTAGTAACAACAGTTATAATCAAACAACTTTAAATTGATTTTTCAGTTGACCATTTCTGCATTGCTATTTTCACATTCTACAAGTGTCTAGCTATCACAGTTAACTAACTGGCTTCACTACTTTAGCACATTTACCGTTAACTAGATAAATAAAACAAAACCCTCATCTTTGTTCAACAATTTTTTGCTGTAGTGGTGACTGGCTCAAGAGAGTGACACTAGTTCCTAACATTAAGGTTAGCAGCATATTTCCACAAAGCTTCTACTATTGAACCACAGTAAGCTACCTAGCTTTGGGAAGCTTGCATTTGGTAAGTTCATTTTCCCTTCCCTGGTTCTCTTCCACAGTAATGTGCAATGGAAACTACCCCTTCATTGCTTCGCCAGAGATAAGAAAATATGATACATAAAGACTCCAAATTCAGGTTGTCTAAACAGCAGGCACAGAAACATGCTTCACAATTTAATCTGAACTCCACTGTCATTATTTTTTTTTGTATACACATAGACTAAATGCATTAATACTCCCATTTTATCAGTAGAATTTACAGACACTGATACTCAGCTGTATCTTCCAATAGTACATAAGAATCTTCTAAAGTTAAGAAAATAAATGTAAACTTTCCAGCTGGTCATGTTTGTGCAGCAGTGCAAAATATCCAAACACCAATAAATCAAAAGCAAGTAGAAAAACATGCGGAAGAAATCAGTACATGTACTGATAAAGCTCGTTATTTAAGTCACTTCACTATGATTATTGTAATAACAATCAGTCAGCAAAGGTGATCATATATCAAATGATGTGACAAAGATTTGTAATAAGGTAAGCTTTTCAAATAAGTCAAATACTTACATCAGAAATCTAACTTTACGGCTTCTGCAATATAGTGAAGCTAATCAAAAGAAAAGGCTATACTCAGCTGATACGTAAGAATCACCATTATGTGAGGAGATTATTTCATGATTCTCTTTATTGCATAAGAATTACGATTCTGCTACAGGTACATTGGTCAATTGTCTTATATAAAGACATTTGTTTCCCTCAGATAACAGTTCCCATTACACTAATCATACGCTTTCAAATAAATCTACATTTGTTAAATACCATACTAGACAATTGGTCACCTGAATTAAATAAAATTAGGGTCTCTTTACAGTAAGGTTTTAGAGATACTTAGGTTATTGAGGACAGAGGTTTAGTTTACAATCAAAGTTACTTTGGGGGGGGATGGAAGCCTATTTCTGATTATTAATACCTTATTACCAATACCAAAAAGATATAGAAGGTAACTTGCAATAGATTTTTGCTGGTTTATTTCTAAAATTAACCCCTCCCTTTCCTCCCTACATTTCTCCTCCCAGCACTTTTTTAAACTTACCATAAAATTCTGTTGAAGGGGAGACCAAGAATACATTATAGGCACAGAAGCAACAGCATTGAGAGTCTTCAGTGGGATGACTTGCTTTGGAAAATCTATGTCACTGGTAACAGAGCACTGAAATAAGGGGTTGAAGTTACACTTACATAGCAGCATAAGAAACAAAAAGAAAAAAAAAAAACACAAAAAACACAGAACACTACAATGTACAAAATTCAAAGTGTTTGTTAAAATTAGCCTTATCAGCCTTTGAAACACACATCAGATTTTTAGGGCATAATAAGAATAAATTTAACAGAAAAAAGACACAAGACTTATTTCTATGTCAATACTTTCGCTAATAGATCATGGTGGGTTTTGACACTTAATAATAAGTGGTTGTGATAGTATTTTATTCAGACTATTCAACCTACAATACAAATTATGCTTGGTAGCTCAGATTTAGTACCTGTTGCTGCTACACTGATGTTAGAGTATTTACTCAAGCCATCAGAGAGGCAACTGAATTTCCCTGGCTTCAGATCCATACACTGCAGAAATCATGTCTTGTTAAAAAAAAAAAAACAAAAAAAAAAAACAAACAAACAAACAAAAAAATTACTCTAACGTCGGCAAGACATCTTATGGAAATAAATCCTCCATGTGTCTTTTTAATTCCTGCCCTGTTTCCCCATTATTGTCTGTTTCTCTTTATCCTATCCTCAAGACTTTGTTTATGATCACTGCTTACAACAGAAAAATGAAAATTAACTCTTAATACGCAACTGTGGACATATCAATGAGTTTTTCAGCTACAGGACTTTTTTTTTTTTCTGAGATTCAGAGGTTTATGTAGCCTTCAAAAGATAAATAGGCCATAGAAATGCAGAAAACTTCTAGGTTATTCTTGCATCAATTCAAGTTAACAGACAGAGATCAACTTTTCTCAAGTACTTGGACAGCAATATGAACAACTCTGGAAAAAAAAGTTACAAACAAACAAAAGCAGACAGGAACATACAAAGCTAGGGAAAGTACAATAGAGGATTTGGAGGTAGGTAAAACAAAGTTTAGAACAGCTATCATAGCTACCTGAAAGGAAAAAAGGAAGTGGAGACAAAAGATCTTTCTCCTTTCCAGAAGGGAAAGATGAACAGAGCTTCACATTTCTAAAGAAATACACAAAGTAATGTAACAAACAGTATACAGAGACAGTAGCCTGGCAGAATGACACAATCCAGATTTATTTCTTTCCTTTTTAATCTGCAGCAAATGAAGTTAAATTTCTGCTGTGTATATCAATACTCAAGATACTATCCTATGCTAGCACTTTACTCCCATTTCAGGTTAGTGTTTCTTTTTGTAGCTAGTAGCCATCTAGAATATTTTTCACGTATTTTTCTTTAAAAATACAAAAGTAAAAAATAATTGCTTTTATCTTTGGAACTAGAAGTCTCAGGCTGACAAATGAACTATGTCAAAATGACTCAAAGTATTTGGTACTAAGTTTCAGCTATGTTGCCCTGTTTTGCTATGGAACTCAACATTTATTAGGCTAGAACAGGACATGTTACAGTCTCTGGCTGATGTTAACTGGACTAGCCATTGGAGAAAACCTGTCACCAGCGATCCACTGCAGTCTTCACCAACCAGATGAAGGCTCGCACAAAACCTTCCCAACATGTCACTAAGCTTCTAGCCAGTGTCCTATGCAACTCTGAAGAAATTTAGCATATTAAGAAAAAAAGATTTTAAAGTAATCATTTAAAACCCCCACCATTACTTTGTCTCACTTCTTTCACTATGAATTATGGCAATCTGAAATCATGCATTAGAGTTCTGATTCATGAGACAGACTGGATTTGAATGCAGTAATTACTGTGCTCTATCAATTCAGGCAGGAAATTAACATAAAAGAATAGTGAATCAAGCTAAAAGAAAAAGAAGAAAAAAAAAAAAGAGGAATGGTGAGGAATGATCTTTTACTAAGGAAAAAAAGGAGTGAGAACTGGATGTGTACCTGAAACAGTTACTATCAGAAGTTCTGATCCTACAGTGCCATATGAGAGAGATAGAGCTGCACAAGAGTAATTGCATATTCAATCACATTTGAAAGAAAACACTCAGGCAGGCAGAAGTCCTTGCCTGTTTGCATTTGATCATGCATGTACACAAATACACCTCTGTGACAAACTGAAATTTTATCCCAGTTCCCCACTGAAATTTGGGGAAGATGAAAATCTGACAAATTTCCTTGAAGATTAAGTGTTTTGTTTTGGGCTTTTTTAAACTAGTCACAGTAAAATCTTTTCATTCTCATCCTACTAAAAAGAGTTAACTTTTCAGATTATTAGACATGAAACATCTTCAAACTGGCTTAGTGTGGAGAAGTGCCTAAAGAGCAACTGAGAAAGAAGATAAATTAACCTGGGATGAATACAGAAAGCTGGAGTAGACTTAAAGCACCTTTCAAGCTACCAACATGAAAGCCAGTTTAGGCGCTCAAATTGCATCACAATCATGGAAGTGTTACCTCAAATGTAGCATCCAGTCTGCTTGTGCAACACAAGGGTGTATCAACTCAACTAACTCCTTTTAGAACCTCTGTGGTTAAATGACTTTAATATAAACAAGACTCAAGTGGGTATGTTTGCAGCTTTCACGTGCTTTAACTCAGTAAGAACCAAAGTAACTACTCATTTGTACTACTGGGGGTCAACTCCAATAGGAACAAGATTAAACTCTCAATATCAGTAAGAGAAAACGGTTTGATTAAAGAATGCTGAGGTATGATCCAAGCAGTTATCAGAAATAAAAAAGTTTCACTTTTGTGTGTCATTCAAAGCTAGGTAGTCTTCTACATACTTATTGCTTTCCTAAAGTCATATGATCAAAGTAAATAATAAATAAATTCTTTAAGAGACCCGTATGAAAAATATTTAGCTGCCAAGTCATGTCATGCGGGGGAGGAAAAAAAAAAAAAAAAAAAAACAACCAAGAACATGCTAAAAACCTTGTAAGTGGAATTACCACAACACATGTTAACCAACCTCCCTGGTCCCGCGCAATGAGCTCACAGAAGTCATGATGTGAACAGGCTGTATCCTACGTTGTTTCCATTCTTGATTTAAGATTTCAGTTCTTTCCAGTATCTTCTGACGATTAGAATTAAACATACTCTAAAAAAATCAATCATAATTATAAATGTTAGAAATAAATCAGAGATGCTAAATTCACCTGCTAGCATCTTAAGGCATTAACATTTACTATAAAAATAAACAAAACCAGACAGGATAAAAAAAAATAGTCCCCAAAACTCTACTGTCCAAATTTTGTTCGAATGTCAGTGAGGCTCAATATAGCTCACTGTCCCTTTCTTCGACTCAAACCATGTTCTCATGTTTAGAGACTCAGAGGTTTAGCATTAAATTCTAAATAGAATTAGAAAGAATATGTGACTAAGGAAATTTGCCATACTTGCTTTGATATTTAGCATGCCCAATTCAATCACATATATCATAGCTTTTTATAAGATCACAGAGTTAAGACAAGTTTTCAGTAGGCTAACAAAGTATTTAATGAAATTGTTATTGCAGATGTTAACTGCATGGCTAATCATACTTCAGAAGAAAATCAATTTTTGTATGATTTTTTTAAGCAAGAGAACCAAAAGATTACATACTTTTACTTCATCTGCACGTCGGAACCTCTTGAGCTGCCTCAATCTCATATATTCTGATTTCACACGTTTTCGCCAACAAATTGGTCCCTTCTCAGATTTTTTTCCTGTTTGACCCATGATTATCCTACAAGAGATAACATAATGTTAGTGTGACCAAATTTGACATGCTGCTTACAAAGGAAGTTAGAGTGAAGTTACATAGGATAGAGACATTAATACCTTTTATATCCAATTCCTTTAATTCCTTTCAATCAGATACCTGTAATACCATCCGAAGCCAACATAAAAAGCACCCAACACAAAAGACAACCAAACAACAAACAAGCAAAGCATACTTAAGTGACAGACACCAGAAAACAGTAATTTTAATTACAAATCAGTGGGACCATTCACATTTGCTTTAAGCATCTCTAATAGCTTTATGCAGAAAAAGGTACGTAATGGATTTAAATGGGTGAAGCAGAACAAATCAAGATTCCCACTGAAAAATACAAACTGGTATCCTTGCAAACAGTCTTGTAAATTAACTTCTGGACAGCTATGCTCATGGCAGACAAATCTTCCCCTCTTCACAGGAGTGGTCCTCTTCAGTAAGATACCAACTCCTAGAATAGACTTCAGAGTTGATTTCAAGTGCAGAGACATAGCCCACGTAGAGTCCTCCTACCCAAACATTCAAGGGTCAAAAAGTTCTAGAAATTCAGGCAAAGAGTTTTCAAACAGCCAGAATAAGAGACCTTGCTCTTTTCTCAAGTATTCTACAAAAACCCAAACTGTCTAGCTGACTGCAAACAGGACGCTGATTCCACTTTTACTGATCACCCTCCTAGTAACTAGTGCTTCATTTTTGCTATAGGACTGTTGGCAATTAATTTGTATTTTTACATTATAATCCAAATGCATTGCTAGAATATGCTAATCTGCTCAGCATTTTTCAAAATCAAGGACCATATGCTGTGACTATGCTGGCAACGACTATTTTGACAGCATCCTGAAACAAAACCACTACATCGAAGACTGGCTTCCTCTCAAGAATTGCACTGTAACAACCTACAGTATTTCACTGAACAGCTCAAAATAGCATTCACAAGAGCCATCATGGACTGAAAGGCTGGAATGTCCACTTGCCAAAGGTTAATACATTCTCAAACAAGCATAATCTATTTGAGCAGAAACAATTCTAGCTCTTCTAATTATCAAGGTAAGTAAACAAGAACACAGGTGTCCTCTCCAGGCTGGAGCCAGATGCCCAGTGCTCCCTCCTCTGCCCTGCACCACAGCTCCCCTGACCATCCTGAGTACAGCTTTGCCACGTTATTGAAAACTCTTTGCTGCTGTAGGCAGAGCTCTATTTTCAGCAGCTTTGTATAGATTGTATCCGAGTTCTGTCAGACTTTATAATGACTGGGGGGTAATCAATACAGAACCTGTTTATTCTCAATACAACACCTTCATTTACACCGAACAAAAGGTAATAATCTAGGAGAGCCTGACACCTGTTTTTATGCAAGACATTAAATCATATTATGTAAGAAAAATTGTCGAATTTTTAGATATAGAATGAAAATGAACCAAACAACAAATGGCAGAATTGCCAACCCAAATCATGGGAAGTATCCTTTGAGGAAAAAAGGCAAAGCATACAAGTTGCACATAATGCCCGAAGCACTGACTAGACAGAAGGGAAGGACAGACAACCAGCAGTGGGAGGTGAATCTAGAGCAAAGTGTCAGAGCTGCTCTGTTTCCGTGCCTCAAGGCAGCAAGCAGAATCCACCTGTATCTCATCTGCCACACCACCAGTGGTTACAAGATTAAAAAACAGAATAATTTTTAAAAATAATCCTGGACCATTCGTGTTAGAGCACAGTGAAGACAATCAGTTATTCCAAGTGCACTAAGATACTGATTAGAGAACTGCATGTCTCAAGCCTACTGTTGGCCCACTTGCACTAGTATGTGGAAGGAAAACCTTTCCCAAATCACTTTCTTGCACCATTTCTGCTGTTCGCATTCGTAAGTACTCCAAGCTGTAACAAACTACACAGTTTTCACTTTGTTAAATGAGAAAAAAGCCTATACATTTTCATTAAATGATGTTGTATGGGAATTGCAGCTAGGATTGCAGACCAGAAAAGCTAGTCAATTTTAAGATCAATTTGTCAGAACTAGTCAACTTTTCATATAAAGTTTCAGAATATTCCCTACGGTAGCACAAGTGGCACAAGCTAAATCCCATCTGTCTAAGAATAGTCAAGCCTGTCTTAACGAGACAGCATAATGCTAAAATTTCCATTTAACAAATAAAAACATGATACTGGATTGTCTTAGTGCAATGGTCTGATTCTGAGAGTCCTCAGGCCATGTCCCTCTTTCTCTGTCCCCATTTCCCCTTCTGAATCCTACTAGCTGTTTCTATTGTTTTAAAATCTTTTTCTTTCCATTCTTTCATCCTCTTCATACAAAGGGCCTAAAAAAAACATCTGCTGAAGATCCCAGTCTTAAAAACTTTTATCCAAAAGAAAGCAACTATGTAGCAGTCAACTCATTTATGGGCAGATTATCTCCTCTCCACAATAGATACCAGAAAGCAAACACAACTCTAAAGAAGTTACACTATTTCTAGAGAAACCCCATCTCCCAAAGCACAGTGTGACTTCCATGCAGAACCTGAGCTAACCTTGCCAGACCTTACCTGGCATCACACTAAGGAGGGGAACCTTGCCATAACTCCCTGCACCCTCTTTCCAGAAGAGGGGGACACTGGCAAGTGGGGTGAAAGAGCCCAAGCGATCCTAGTGCCAGCCTGGTGCAGCCACAGCCAGACGCACTGTCTCGTTCCAGACTGGGCACTCACCCCGATGCCACGGCGAGCAAGGCGGTACGCGTGCCACACGTCAGTGCAAAGGCTGAATGCCCTGGGTCCAAGGCTGCACCGAGCCCAGCCAGCCCTCCCGGAGCACCGCACCGCAGAACTGACTCCACAGACTCCGCTGCGCACAGACACCGGAGCGCTGCTACGCCCTGCTCCCCACCTCTCATACCAGCCATATTTTTCCATTACTTATAATATTAAAGCCACCTAATTCCCTGAGCTGTATGTAGCGTGTACCCCAGTGCGTGGGTAGAACTGGACATTAACTATACGAACGAAAGGACCAATGTAATTCCAAACAGACCACCATCAAATACAAGAAAAATAACAAAACCAATGCCTCTTTTTGACCAATAAGGAGTTTGAACTATTGTGTTAGTAATGAGAATTACTGAACTCACCTAAACAGTGATTTTGAAAAAAACCCTACAAGAAAATAAAAACAAATACATAGCTATTCTTTTCAGTTTCTACTCATGCATGGCTGTAAATGAAAAACAACAAAAAGTGGCAGTGTCCTAGAGCATATACATTTGCGTTTTAAATACTCTGTTGAGCATTTCATAATGATGTACAAGATGCACATTCTTGACAGTAAACTTTAAAGAAACTTCATGCCTACCAGCTTAAATCAGCCAATACTTACTTTCAGCGTTCAAAGTGTGTACAATACATCTAGGATTCAGAACAAGAGACAAAGAAGTGTAGAAAAATTTAATCTCAAATTGCTCCTGTTTTGCCTACAGAACATAGAAATAGCCTTATTTAAAGACAACATCCTATTTTTTCAATCATTTTGGCAATATCCATCAGTGACAGTTAAGCACACAGATAATTGTCTAAATTAGGCAGTGTATTCAAGCAGTTACACTGCTGTCAAAGACTATATTTAAGCTCCTCTGGCTACTGTACCAAATTTCAGGGGAAAAAAATATCAATGAAAATTTTCAATCAGGAAAGCATGGGAGAACAAATAAGGGGGTCTGCCCTTTTAAACAAATTATATTAGTTTGTAATTCTCCTTAATATAACAAAATATTTTAAACTGTAACAATATTACATTATCTTCCCTCTGCTCAAAATTTTTGGAGATATTTATGAATTAAAACATACCGTGTACAGTATTAATTCACAAAAAAAGAACTGAGAAGTTATCTACACTCAAAAGATTATTCATATACTTTAAATATATGCATACACTGATACAATACTGTACTTAAGAGCACTCCTAACCAACAGATTCAATGCAGAGTAGGGGAAGGGAAGGATGGGGGAGAATATAAAACCCAACAGAGAAACTGCATATGCAACCTGATGCAAACTGAACAATAAAATAAGTCATCATGATTTTTGTTGCCTAGTAATGAAGGAATAAAATAATTCAGATGGGGCAGGGGAGGGTAGGGGGGAAGTACTACTTCTACTTTCTATAGACAAATGCATTGTCTATAAAAACAAATTCGCACTTGCTTCTCAGAACCACGAGCTCTAAAGGAATGTATTTAACTGCACGACCCTGCTCAATGAGCTACACCACACTGCTTCTCGACCTCTTCTACCTCAAAATTAGCATGCCCACAGCCCTGCAAACAGGTACGTACTTCAGTAAAGTTCTCTGGACTGGATGCACTGACACAAAGTACGCATCTGAGCTGGCTTTACAAACTGTCACTTCAGGTACAATAAACTCATTAATTTAGCTACAATACTACACAATGAAGGTACTCACCCAAGTAATTTCCTCAGCAGCGGTGCAACCTTACAATCATCCCACACTTCCCAACACTTTATTCTTACCCCAGTACTGCCCACTGAGCCACAGCCACTCTTCTCGAAGGGATGCATGCTAAACTGGATTAAATCAACCAGTCACAAATAATAGTTCATTTTGTGATTGATTGTTCTCTGAAAAACAGATCAGTTCGATGATCCCATCCATAGCTGTGGCTTCCTGTGCACAACTAGAAAGCAGGAAGCATTTGTCAGGAACTCAGACCAACACCAGGGAAAAACTAGTGCAGGCAATTACACCACAAACAGGCACTGGTTTTATACACCAGTTTGCTCTGGAGCAGCAGGCATACCACTTCAACTGTAAACTGTTATCAGATCTAAACAGCATACAGGTCTCTCAGCCTAAGCGTAGGCAATCTGACTAACAGAGAAATTATTATATATTAAACTCTATCTGAAGTCATCACTGAACTTCAGGCATCTACAAAACCTAGGGTTTAGGGTTTGGGTTTTTTTAAAAAAGACAACAAAAACAAAAAACTACACCCCACCACACCCAGTGCTTTTCTTCAAACTACAAAAAATTTTTGCTCCAGCAGCAGAATTTAGGACATCTTTCATGTTCAA